ACGCTAATGACTAAATTACTTTAGATAATAGCACAGACATTATTAATATGTTACATGTGGCCCCAAATTGCTAAAATATTCCAACACTTCTCTCACGACAGTTGTTAGGGAGATAACTTCAAAATCATCATCTACAAATTCTTCTCCCATGAGACCATGACAGTCCCATCATCTCCTCCATCTCGCCTAGATTTGGGCGTCGGATGGATCGGTTAGAGTATTTCAATACTAGGATCCAATTATTATACTTTGGGTATTTTGTAAATAAAAACCATTCGAATCTTATAATTATTGGAACCAAACCCAAACTTGAATCGTTGATTCCAATTCGAGTTTGGTTCTACCCATAATATTTTTTAATTATATTTAATAATGTCTCCATAAAGGCTCTTTCATTGCGTATATATAACACACTAATACTCGACAATATTTGTGGAAGGGAGAAAATCCAGCCAAGAAATTTTCAATAAACTAAGAAATTCAACTACATGACTTAAAATAGTGGAGACTAAAAATCAAGAAAAGCATATAAAATTAAATTATAATTCGAGAACAAATTATTTTTGCTTAATAAATCTTATTTGATAATTGAGACTTGCTAGAGCCAACAATATAATTATAGGGAATGTTTAAATTATTCAACTCTTAAAATGAACTGATATAATAAATACTAATTAGATACATAACTACGTGTATTAATGAATTACATTCCACATATTGAACCCGCTATGTTTTAGAAAAAAAAAGGAAAAAATATATTTCAAAAGTGAACTACGAATTCGAGATAACAAAAATTATACACCACAGCCAAAGTAATGAAAATATCAAATTCAATTGCTACACGTTATATAAAAAAATTTAAAAATTACTTAAGCTTGTAGACGATATATGAAAATAAAAAGCTCAAATTGCAAAGAATGAGTGTTTTCACTCATCAACTTACACAAACAATACTAGCTTGAACTTTTTGATTCATAGAAAGTTCAAATTGTATAGATTAACATGTATTAACCTATTCAAGGTTAAGTTATAGAGTTATCTACAAATTACTATCCAAATTAGAGTTTTGAGATTTTTTATTTTTTTTACCTAGCATATATATTGTGAAAAATGAAAAATTATATAAAAAAAATTGGTTCTATTTGAGTACCCATGATTATGGTTCCAGAGCTAATAATTGACTCGAACCCAGTTGGTTTTCGATTCATAATTTATTTATTTTGGAACCGGACCGAACTTTCGATTTCGATTCCGGTTCGATTTTAATTCAAGTTTAAAATATCCAAACCTGATCTCGCAGTTCTCGCTCGTCTAATTCTTGAACTCCTCCATCAATTCCTCATGTCCTATCTCAATCACCCTCACCAAATGCATCACTACCATTGCTTACTGCACCTTCTCCATCACCATAATGGTCTCAATTTCAATTTATTGCATCCAGAAATTTTGCATTATCCTTAGGGATGTAAATAGTTCGAATATGAATCGGATCTGCTCATATTCGATCTGATGAAAAAATCATTCGATTCAACGGATATTTAATTATTAAATCCATATCCGATTTGCTATGATATCGAATATTCAATCTAATAATCCGATCCGAAATTAAAGAAAATATGAAAATAAAATCAATGTTGAAATTAGCTTCTTCTTTTTTCCTATTATTTTCAATTCTTAAACAGGTTTAA